ACAATCACTTGGATAATTGAATATGTATGTGCGAATGTTCATCTATAATAGCCACTCTAGTTTGTTTAAAGTAAACTAAATTTGCCATGAGGCGTCCACTCAGCGTTTATAGACATGACTGTCATTACAGTATAAACTTGTATAATTATTAATTATTAATCAATAAAGGAACTTTTACACCGCAGCCAATCAACGGAATCGTCAACTCGAAAAGCCATGCACGAACCACGTCCTGTTATTTGATAAGGGTAGACTATATCAGTGGCGCACTGAGTGTTACCAGCGTAGGCAAACATGTCAAACAACTAATCTTAAACAGCGCCCCCGTTGTCGTCAGCGAAAAGAAACAAACAAAGTCCATGGATGAGAGATGCTTATGTTTTTCCCATTATTCCAAGCCATTCTTTTTAAATAGTACACTTTGAATATTACGATGATTGAAGTGATCCTTTTAGGTTAATCAATCCTTCTGAATAAGAAAAAAATAATCTATATTTCTAAAAAGACACTCCAGGCGGTATAAAGCATGCCGACAAAAGAAATGGAAACCTGATTTAAATCTTTTAGTCACGATAGTGCTGCCTTTTTCTAATGGCGAGTGAATAAAATGGATTAGATTGCATCGCACAGTTAGGCAGTGGGAGGAAAGACCCTTCTGCACTTCTTTGAGTTTCATGTTCGTGACAAACAATCTCAAATATTGGGTACAGTCTGTCCCTAGGGATAGACTATGATATATTCGCGTATTAAAGCTATCATCGAAACAGGTTTAGCAGTTAAAAATGCATGTTTTCCTTCACACACGATAAACGTGGATTATATTTATTAAATAGATACAGAAGGGGGAATAATTTATTTTACCCCAATTTATGGAATGAATTATTCCTAATATAGATCTGAATAATAGACTACATTCTCAGATTGTATTGAATAATAATTTGAGAGCTTATGTTTTGCTTGACTGCTAAAGCATGTGTGTGCAACTATGCTTATAAACTAGGGAACCTACGTCCTAAAGTCATAACTCACATGAGAATTAATTATTATTAGGCATTTAGCTACGCTATTCATAGTACACTATATCACAGCGCTTACAATAATAACCACAAATCATAACATAACATAACATTGAACAAACAAAAAAATAGCGAATCAAGTAGGAAATAAATAGGTTTTAAGGAGTTTCTTAAAAACATCCACTGATGCAGCAGCTTTGATACTGGAGGGAAGTTTATTCCACTCCTTAGCTGCTGCAACAGTGAATGTGCGATCTCCTGCCTTACTACGAGCCACATGAAATGTCAGTCGAAATGGGTCTGCATTGGAGCGAAGGTTTGTACGTACAGGTTGATACAACTCAAGACAGTCACTAAAATACTCTGGTGCCTGATCATGAAAAAATTTGTATACAAATAAAAGAATCTTAAAAACAATCCTCTGTTTGATTGGCAACCAATGAAGGGATGTTAGTAGAGGCATGGCATCGTGACGACGGTCTAAACGAAAAATAATACGAGCCGCCCAGTTCTGTAAACTTTGAAGTCTTCTTATATATGTTTGAGGGACTTCTGTAAGCAACCCGTTACAATAATCCAACCGGGAAAGAACATGGCTGCGAATCACATGATGACATGCATCTTCAGATACATACTTCCTAATCTGTGATACATTCTTCAACTGATATCGTACAGATTTACAAAGCTGGTCTATTTGGTTAGACATGGACATATTGCAATCAAAAATGACACCAAGGTTCTTGACCGATGTAGATGGTGCAATCTGGGTGGTTCCGAATGTAAGATTAACATCATTAATGTTTCCCAAGTTGTGTTTGGAGCTGATTACCAAAAACTCTGTCTTTTCCTCATTTAGTTTAAGCTTATTCCTTCCCATCCACATACTTATATCTGTGACACAATCTGAAAGAGTTTTTAATGCAGTATTTAAGCCATTAGGTTGCTTAGGGTTAAATGTAACATACAACTGTGTATCATCAGCGTAAGTGTGATATGAAACGTTATAATGTCTAGCGATGTCTGGGACAGGCAAAGTATATATAGTATATCCTATGGGTCCAAATACAGATCCTTGAGGGAGACCTACTTTGTTAGAAGCTACTACTGACTGTTTCCCCCTAATTTCAACACATGTGGACCAGTCTTCCAAATATGACCTAAACCATCTCAGAGCTGCACCCTCGATTCCTAGCCTTGTTGATAACCGACATATCGTCACTGATTTCACGAACCGGCACGCGAAGCCTCACAGCGCGAAAACACGTTTCCGAGATAATCGTGTTTAAAGACAGCGGCCAGTTTAAAATGCTCATTTGAATACCGTACTTTCATTTAATCAACATGGAATTACATGTGTGATAAGAGTTGAATTTTTTCTTTCATATGCACTCAATATTACAGCAAGAAACGAAATACTTTTGGTATCATTGGGTATCATTCATGGTCAAATACGTATGCCGGTTCGTAAAATTACTCGTATGCGCATTTTGCATAGAGCGCGTAGTTAAGAAAAATTTTACGAACCGGCACGCGTTGATCCTGTGCCGGTTCGTAAAACTTGCGCCTTGTGTAGCTGCGCGCACTGATGAGTTTTACGAACCGGCATATGAGTTTGATGGTGCATTAAAATGACATTCTCAATACGAATTGTCACGAGGATAATTCAATCTTTTTCCTATACCGCATCACACGTTTAGCATAATCTTTGATATCTCACTTGAACCTGTATTTATATTTTGTTTACTTTTTTTTTTCTCTCTTGATTTTTTCATTTGTTTCCAATATTCTACCCCTTCTCTCTCTCTATTTCGCATTAAGTATCCCGTATTTTCCTCTTTAAAACAAATTATATCTGAGTGGTTCTCTTCTGAATTCTATCATGTTGTCCTACTAGTCATACAAACGATTAACGTTTGTAACATATACTATATGATTCGTAGATGATTTACATTACCATATAGTATCAGGACAATTTCTCCCTGGACAATCACCCCCTGAAAATTACCTCTCCGGGAAACTACCCTCCACCCCCCCCCCCACATACATGGACAATAACCCCCATCCCCTGAAAAATCACCCCCTATTATTAGGACAATTACCCCAGTTCATTAAAGGGGAAGTCGACCCTGATAATAAGTTGGTTTTTTAATAAAACCGGATTTGTTTTCTCTCGGGGGTTAATCGTCCTGTGTGTGTGTGGGGGGGGGGGGGGGTATTGTCCAAGAGGAGTAATTTTCAGGGAGGGGTGTTGTTTGATGTTATACCTTCATGGTTTATCAAGTAATTTCCCCAACTCTTATCACAAAATGTCCACATCTTGGGCAGATACTCAATACTGCAATACCTCTCTCTTCACACATGCTCTCTCTTCATTCCAATCTCTCTCTATCTTATATAACCTTTTACATATTCCTATCTCAGTCATATCCCTCTTTACCTCAAGGAAAGTAGAATTTAAATTCAGAGAGGTACATTGTATCTAATTTACATATTATCATATTATTTTCAAGGTACCATAATGTGGGGCACGGTGTAGTTATATATTTTACTGTTACAGTAAAGAGAAAATTCGCTCTTTGAAATTCATGGTTTAAATTGATAATATACATATCTAATCCTCATTTTGAGCAAAGAAATGATTAATTGTTTGTACAACAATTAATGTAACCATTAGAAAATGCTGCATAGTTGTTACAAAACACGATTGTAGCAGAACTACAAGAGGCATGCTAACAATCTACAAATCGGCGTAAAATTAAGCACAATATATTTGCACAATACAATAATATGTTCATCCTATTACATGTATTTCAATTTTTATTACAATTTATACTAAATGCATACTTGTGCACATCTGGGGGTGTCAAAAATGTCCATGGATTTGCATTAATGTAAAGACATTTTATTTACTCAATTATAACATTTGATGGAATTATGAAGCCAAAATGAGGTTCATGGACAAGTTGAAAACATTGGCAAATTTCAACAAGTTTCTTAATTAGTACAAATACGCCACAGAAAAGATGATTCTTGAAGACTTAGAAATGATGCATACAAATAATACACATTACCCATATTCTTTAAATGTTGCAATGAATATGAATATTGTAATTTTGAGATGAAGCTAATATCTACTTACTCCATATGACAGATCATATATTTTTCATGCATAATTGACTACATTTCTTGCAGTATATGCACAAGGAATCTGCAGCATAATACTATTTTTAGAACAGGAAATAACTTTTTCAGATAACACAAGCAAAGCGTACTTTCACATGAAATCTACTCTCAATTTAATTTATCTATAACTAAGCTAGATTACTCATTACTAAAGAAACAGCATCAACAATGAACTGGATCAGAGAAGGTGATTATCCAGTGCCCTTCCTGATCAGTTTAGAAAGACATATCAGATATATTTTAGAAATTCTTCAGATGATATGCCAAACACTGAAAGCTCAAATGGGAATAGAATATACATTCAGAGTATTTCAGATATAATTAAACCAACTTGTTAATATTAATTACATGAGTTTATTGCTCCCCAATGAAATATTGGTGTAGATCAGTCACTTGAAAGACAATTGATGATTAGAAGTTTGCAAGGCCACTATATACATATTATGTCAACAACGCATTCTTCAACAATACATTTAAATCCCTTTAAAATTTGTCAATGAAAGCCATTTCACAAATGAACACTTCAGCCCCCATCAGAAAAGATCGACCAACAGGAGAAGAGTTACTGTATGAAACTGAAAGCATTAAACAATGTAAATCTAACAAAATATATGTCCAACTAATAAAGGTAGTGGCCCTCATTCTAAAGCCTTCTAACTTCTATGTAATTTCCTCAGTAGATGATAAGTCAAATCGTAGAATACACAATCTTCCTTCCTATGATTTTTTCCTTTAGCTCTTCAATTGGCCCCCACCCAGGAAACCTCTTTAAATTATCATGTATTATACAATGTAGTAGCATGATTACTTGTTATTGTATTAAGTTGTTGAATTTAAATGACAATAAACCTATTACATTTCAAGATCCTGGTGGAGGCTTGCAAATGAAGGCTACAAAATAAACACGAAGAAGGTAATGTAATTTTCTGATAAAGTCATACTATATGTTAGGATGTTGTAGCATGAGTACTAGTTAAGTTGTTTTGGAATAACCAAGTGTAAATAACAATGTTATTTTGAACATATCTTTTACTTGTAAACCTTGGACAAATTAAAAGAATTATGTAATATATATATAGATGTATATAATTTGAATGATTATGATTCAAATTACATGAATACAAATTCCAATATAACAGGTGAAACATCTGCTGTGCTATTACTGACCAACAGCAGCTAACAGGAAGTTTTCTGTGTCAGATTCCACTTTGTGTACTTCATCCTCAAAGTCTGTATCCAACTCCATGGGTTTTGTTTCATTCTGCCTTTGGGATGTCCTCACCAGGTCCGAGAACTTTAACACAGAGAGCAAAAAAGTTTGGGAGCAGTTTAGAAAAGAATATCACATATGCAATATTCCTCATCAGTCTTGGTTTATTTATTTGGATGGTTCATTGAATTTAATAAATCTTGCTTTGGTCTGAATTACTGAATATGAGGTTGTAGCAGCCACAAACGGATATTTTTTACAAAAATATATTCTAATGAAATCAACAAAATGTGTTGAAGTTGTTCTAACACATACATCATGATTCAACAAACTTAGAAAGTGCAGTCAAAGTTAATGCATAAATTGCAAATCCTAAGCTAATTTCTCTAAGCTGCACTGTACACTAACCAAAGGTAATAAAAATAGACATCCCCTGCAAAAAAAAACTTAATAGAAGGATACTTTTTAAATATCACTCAATAGTTGCATTCAGGAGGTGTAAACATGTAACTTACCTAAAAACCAGTGACCTGTTGTCCATGGGTTTGGGATCCCTTGGCTCTCAACTTGTTGAGCAATTATTTGTGGACCATTGTTCTAATAGCAGTCAGTGTGTGGGCTGTCAGCAAACTGTGGGCTATCCTTTTGTAGAACTGGGGCCAATTGAATCACTGGAAATAAAAAAAAATAATATCATTCATTTATTTCATTTCATTGGGAGCATAAAAATACATCAGAGGAATTTTGAAATGAGACAAGAAAATATCATGGAATACTATATACAGATAAATGCATGTATGCTGGAGTAGGTACATGTGTATAGCAGCCAAAAACAAAACAAAACAACAACTTCATATCAGGCTTACCCAGAATCTAAATACATGTATAATAAATTGTGAATACAAACTGAAAGGTAGTTATACAACAATTAATAATTTGATAATCCATATTCACTTTGCAAGCAGATTCAACGTGAATGTCAAGTATTGTCAATAGAGAATTTAAAGAAAGATACATCTGGTAATTCTTTAAACTTATTTTTACCTAACTACTTGCTAAGTTCTTATTACAATATTCTAATCACTTGTGAATGTTGTTTGATCACAATTCATAGTTTCAGAATAAAATCCAGACACAGTCAAACCTGCTTTAGTGACCACCTGTCTACAAAGACCACCTGTCTACAAGGACCACATTTTTTGTTTCCTTTGAAAATGGTTTCTCATTGAAACATGTACTAAAGGAACCTGTCTACAAAGACCACCTGTCTACGAAGACCACTTTTTGTGTTTCCCTTGGGCGGTCGCTGTAGACAGGTTTGACTGTATTCACAAACATGTACATATAAATATATGCTTAAAATATACTAGTTGGTGTAATGAATATTACCCAAAACTATAACTTTTCTTTAACTGGAATGAAAATTGCATGATTCATATTTCAAAAACTTGCCATTCTTTAGGACAATGATATCTGTCATAAAATTATACTGGAAGGTGGTAATTTCATTTATTTTCAGGTATGTATGTCAAACTTCAAAACCAATTAAAATACTCAGTATTATACACGTATCTAGTTACATTAACATAGGCTAAATGTATATCTTTGTTAGCTACAAAAAAAAAATAGAATGAGGAATAACTAACCACCAATCTGTGAGCTTTAAGTTGGCTGGTCTTCAATCAAAAGGGGTCAATGTATGGGACATTACATCCTTGCTGGACCTCTGATGGGCATTTCAACTCTGTCAGGAGCATTTTTAGGCTGTCAGTCTGTGGGCAGTCAAATTTAGTATCATCGGTCATTGGGTGTGAACGTATCTGAATAACTGCAAAGCAATACATATAATATTTGCATTGATTATTCAGAATGAAACAAAAATAATGAGATACATTAATGGACTGCATTGGAAGCATTCTACACCATAAACATATTCTAATGTTTGCTTAAATATCACTATACCCAGAAACAAATAATTTAACTAAAGTTACTATGGAGATAAACACACCTAATAATTATTTTTTTATCTGGCTGGTACTGCCCCCCCCCCCCCCCCCCTCCTCACTTCGGGGTCAAAGGGACCGCGATTGTGATCCCAAAATCTCCGGTAAAGAACAATAGTGAATTGCATTAATTCAACCCAGTGTAATGATTGTAGCCTCTCAACATAATCCCAATTTTTAAAAGCATATCAACTAATCTATTTGACACACTACCAGTACCCAACTGCAAACTACGAGATGTACTCAGTTTTGTTAACAGTCTTTATAGAAAGTAATTTGGATGATGTGCATTAACGAGAAGAAAGTATCTGAATAGAAAAATGTATTACTAACCAAGCTCAGCTAATGGGATGTCTCCCATATCCATGGTGTGTACAAGTCCAGGTTCCGACACTGCCAACATTTTCCCCGCCACCACCTGCTGCCCTATTTCATTTTCACCTAAGTGCCTCTCCTTGGTACCGAATTCTTTCTCCTTTTGATATCAGTCAAGTTAGTAGATTTGTCCCTGTTCTACGGGACAAGGCTATCCTGGATAAACTCCATCTAATGTTTGAATAAAGGTATTTATAATAGCAATAGTTTATAAAGAAAATAAAACCTGACATTTGATAATCGTATCTCTAACACTGGCAAACCTACGAAGTGCTTGACCTGACCTGGTGAAGGCATGTGGTTCTACATGTACAATAATTTTAGTGCACTAAAGTTTAGTCCCAGTCAGACTGTTGAATTATATTGTTTCAAGTCATTTCTTTCACTCTGCTCTAATTAATCGTGACCACTATGAGAGACAACACACCACAATATCCTTGTTTAGTTGCTGAAAGTGAAACAGCTTTCGATGAGTACGAGTATAGATGTACGGTAGACTTTATTACCGAAGATCTGCACTATGAAAAAATATGGTCATACCTAAAACCACTTATACTTATAATAAGGATGCAAAGAAAGGACTTACATATTTGACCAAATTATGCAGGTCTAAAGTGAATTTGAAACTAAAGTAAAGGTAAATGTGATGGTGATCTTTGGTAGATGTTGATGCAGTGTACTCACTACTCACTAGACTAGTCACTATATAGTGGCAGTGGTATATTTCTACAGCAACAGATACAGAACCCATCTCTGAAATCATGCCAGGTTTGCCACATCACATTAATTTAAGTTCTAAACATATACTGTAGCCCACAGATTAGTAGCAAATAAATTGGGTCTGTTGTTACTACGATAACCCCAGAATCAAATTTAATGGGTCCCGTTCATTGAGCGAAACATTTTTAAATTGTTTGCATGCACGTGCTTTGTACACTAACATAACCCGCTACATGTGGGACTGGGTTTACGAAAGAGGAAATAATCATAGGGTAATCACCAATTTAGGAGAGGTTTATTTACAATTTTATAGATAACTCAATCACGACGTGCATACATTTTCATTGAATCGAGAACAAAATAAACCTCAACTCACCAGTTCCACGCAGACTCGAAGTTTAAGCATCAGATTCCGGTGAATCCTATTCTGCTAGCAGACTAGTTATAGCTAGGCGTGCCGGTTCGTAAAATCAACAAATTCCTTTTCGCGCGTTAACTCAAGCTTTACGAACTGGCATACAAAGCGCACATATTTTATAAAATCGAATAACTTTTTAATTAAAGCGTTTTATGACCTAAAATTTTGCAGAAAGGTTGATCATGGTAATATCATTCAGAATATGTAAAAATATTAAAATCGAAAATTTACACGAAAAACGCTTCGTATGCCGGTTCGTAAAATCAGCGACGATATTAAAATATGACGGTCAATAGTATCGAAGGCTGCTGATAGATCTAATGACAACAATAAAACTACTCGACCTTTATCCATAGCAGACAGAATATCATTTTTTACTTTGATAAGTGCGCTTTCAGTACTATGATAGGGTCTATATGCAGATTGGTTAGGATCCCACAATCTATTTTCATTCATGTGATCCGTGAGTCTACGACAAGCAACTTTCTCAATGAGCTTTTCCAAGAAACTTAAATTTGACACAGGTCTATAATTTGACAAGCAGTCTTTATCAAGATTTTGCTTCTTGATAAGAGGTCTAATTATGGCTGACCTAGCTGCAGAAGGGAATGTACCTGTTTGTAATGATGAATTAACAATATTTGTCAATACAGGAAGAAGACAATGTACATGTTCTTTTAAAAACCAAGTTGGAATGAGATCCAAACTACATGACTTACTAGGAGAAGCCAGAATAATTTTCAATAACTCATCTTCAGTTGTAGGATCTAAACACGAAAATGATTTTACATGCACTTGATTATACATATCCGGATCAAATGTAGAAATGTGCTGTTCATCATTAATGCTGCCCTGAATCTTCTTTATTTTATCACCAAAGAATGTTAAAAAGTTATTACATAATGTCTCAACTGAGTCGTGTACAGGAAGAGATGGTATCTTTCTATTCAACAAATAATCAACTGTCTTGTAGAGATCCTTATTTTCACACGAGGATAGAGTACTATGAAAATACGCTATCTTTGTGCGACAAATCAGATTTGATGAATAACGTTGTTTGTCCAAGAATTCATCTCGATCAACATCTGATTTAGTCTTTTTCCATTTTCGTTCTGCTCGACGTTTCTCACGACGTGCCAAATGAATGTCATCGTTGTACCACAGCATCCTTCGTCGTACAGGGCGTTCTTTTGAGGTTGGAGGGGCAGATTCGTCCAGAAGTGATTGCATAGTTTCATTGTACCACTTGAACCCAGATTCAGGATCTCCTTGGTGGTTAAAATCCAAAATTGACTCACACAAAGCTGTCAAGAATATTTCCTTGTTGATTGCTTTAAAATTTCGAGATATTGTGAGAATCTTTTGTGGTTGCGGTAAAGGTATGTCTAATTGAACATCAATAACAAAATGATCCGACATTTGTACATCATAGATATTACATTTCTTAATTAAGGATTCCGTCTCTCTTGTGAATACCAAGTCCAATGTGTGACCATGCGAATGAGTTGGACCTATGACATGCTGATGAAGACTGGCGGAGGATGTCGCTTGAAGAAAGGCACTGACGTCTGGTTTGGCAGGTAGATCCACGTGGAAGTTGAAGTCTCCAAGCACAAGTAATTTGCCTGGAAGGACTGATAAATCGGTTAGAAAACTCTCAAACTCATTCAGGAAGTCTGGAACAGTTAGTCCATTTGCAGTCGAAGGTGGTGGACGGTAGATGACAACGATGTGAAGTGTCGATGTCCTGCTGATAACATGAACGGATTCAAATGTTGTGACGTTAGAGACTGGCTTTGTAGTTAGATTAAGCTCTGACTTAAAGAGGACTGCGATACCTCCTCCATGACCAGTTGTTCGAGGTGAACTATGAAACGTGTAACCCGGTGGTGTGCATTCTCCAATGACGACTTGATCGTCTTCCTTCAGCCATGACTCTGTAATGATCAGTATGTCAAGGTCATGTTCAAGAATATAATCACAAATAAGATGAACTTTATTTCTAAGGGAACGAGCATTCCACAGACACAGTTTTGTGCTAGAAGAAATGTTAGTTTTTAATCTTGGAACACTGATCAGGTTACTCTGATGATGAGTTCCCTGTTTCAGAGCATTGTTTAAAGAAGATCGGTTACATGTTGTAATACGTACTGGGATAGGTCTCTGCTTTCTCCTTCCCGCCCTTTTTCCTCTGTGGCTCTTCCATTTTCTCCTCTCATTTCTTCTCTCAATACCAAGACAGCAAATGTTCTCTCTTACCTCTCTCTGGAGTTCAGTTCTCTGTTGTCCAGGTACATTAAGCTGTAGAAGTTCATACCTGCTGTATTTTCTCGAGTTGTGTGGAGGTAAGGTAGTTGATGCATGGTTCTGCTTTTCCAAGGTCAAGTCATTGCTAATAGGCCCAGGGTTCGGGTTCACGTCACCCGCTATCAACAGTTGAAGCTGAAGAGTTGATGTAGTATTTGCATAGTATGCAAGGCGACTTCCCAGAAATTTCAGGGGCTTTAGATTTAGCTTGTACTGTACACCACTTAACAAGCCACTGTTGAAAGTACAGTGCCCAGTGAATGCACTTCTTCCCAGGGTAGATACAAAGAGTACAAAAGTGATCAGCTTGACCAGCTCCATTGTAGATCCAAGTGACCATTCATGAGGACAATAGAGAGGCTGCTTGAGTGAACTTCACTGCATACATGCAGAATGGTGGACATATATAGTTCAACTTGTAACTTCATGCAATCCAAACTGCAAATCTATGTCCACTCTCCTTTCACTCAATATCAAGATAAACTGTCTGAAATTGGTCCAGATTAATCCCGGTGTTAAAACAAACAGACTAGTACTAAATTGATGATGCCTCTATCAAAAGTGAGGAAATAGTAAGCAAAATAAGACAGAGCTTGAAGAGGGTCAGCCTGTCAGGCGATCACCTCATAGTCTTAATGCCTTACATAAGGCACTTATACAGCACAGCGATACGGTTTTGATCCTGGGGCCTCACAGATACGAGACCATTGCTTTGCCAGTGAATCATGAATGTACGCATCGGGGGCTTAGAGTATGGGGCAGTCCCCACAAATAAAAAATAAACAAAGAAAATGCAATAATTTATAAATAATCCATAGCATTTCCCCACGGTCCCCAACGGGAAAAACTCCTCTTTACGGCCATGCATTATGGTTCAAGGCATGGCTACACATATATTTTGTTTCTATTTGGGACCGGGGTAAAATGCAATGAGTTATTTATAAGTTATTGCATTTGTTTTAATTTTTTTTAATGATTTTTGTTTGGGGGCTGCCCCCTATCATAGCCCCTGCTGCGTACAGTCATGATTCACTGGCAAAGCAATGACCTCGTTACTGTGAGGCTCCAGGATCAGACCTTCTCGATGTGCTATTTAAGTGCCCTTTTGTGAGACATTAATACCCATTAATGTCAGTTATGACTTAAGGACGCAGGTCCCCTAGTGTATAGGCATAGTAGCACACACGTGCTTCATCGGTCACGCAAAACAAACACTCGCAAATTATTATTCAATAACATCCGAGAATGATAACTTTTATCTAGATCTATTAGGAATAATAACTCATTGTCAATATCATTCCATAAATTGGGGTTTAAAAAATTATCCCACCTTTATGACCAACAGATTATATTACTTAAAAGCTCTCTTATAGGGATATAGTGCAACCCTGTCTATAACAACTTTACCCACTCTCTCTGACATAAACAAGTGCAGAAAATTCTTAAAAGACATATTCAATAACAAAAAGATTATGCTACGTATGAAAATAGTAACATTGTTGTTTCCACTATATTTTCCTACGTTTAGCATTATCGTTTTGTTAATGAATTTGCCTCTTAAGAATTCGCTCTACTTGTGCAACCCACATGTCAAAGGACATGCAAACCAGGTAGGGCTTCGAACCCCTGACCTCTCAATCCAAAATCAGGTGAATGAAGCACTGTGCTGCGTTGTTCCTTTTCACCGGCATGCATGAATCACGGAAATAACTACACACTTTCATATTCTATACGATCTCTCCGAATAAACCACTAAACCGTATTATTCCGCTCAGTTGTATGCGAGAATCATTTAAATAAAACATAGTCTTTTATATTGTATACGATATCTTCCTCTCGACGCGATATTTTACAGGCTCATGTCTGGCTGGCCTGTTTCAATAGTCTGTAGTGTGGCTCACTGGAATTATAAACACATCAATATTCATAACCATATCAGCTTTCTTCATCCCCCTCTGCATCGCGCGGGGAATAAATAAGGTTAATTTTGACGATGGTGGCTTTTGAGCGGCTTTTCAGACATCTATCCACAATAACTTCGGCGTATTTTGTATGCGAGTCTTGGCTGCTGCGAGCGAGGTGTTCTCTTCTGCTTAATGAGGAAATTCAAAGTGGTTTGGACGACAAGAAGATTTAGAGGATGAGCCGTAACTATGGCAACAAGTCGGGTTATGATGGAAAATACTCTGGTATCAACGAAGCTAAATCACTTTTTCTTTGCAAGGAACGTTTCAACGACCAAAAACAAGGTACAAAAATGTATTACGGAGAAGACAAGGATTCTTACGCGTACGAAGGGGCAATTAAGAGCAAGGTACCCCCGTACAACATTATGCTTTTTTCCCCCAACATATTTTCATCTAAAACCTGAAGGAATATCTATTGATATGATATTTATTAGATATTTTCATTCATGTATGAAATGTAATATGGTCATACGAGACACCTTGCACGTATTCGTTCACAAAACGTCTTCATTGTGTTGAAAACCATCGTACTATATATATATATATCTCCCGTTTACCTATTTTTAGTTGCTAAGCATCACTACAGTGGGATGAAGGGTTATTTAATGAGATCATCTATTATTAGTTTGGTCATGCAATTATCCTCAAAATATTGACATGATTTAATTGACAAGCTCAATGGTTTGGTAAACTTCGTTTTTCTCTATGGAATGGTCGAACTAATTAAGCACACGCAGTCCGCCAATCTAAACGGACTACATAACAACCATGACCGCGCTGGCTGTCGGAGCAAGCTACGAATTTCAATTAGAGTTTTATTAATGGCATCAATCGCAGCGCAATAAACTATGCATTGGTAAGGAAACCATGCACTCATAATAATTAATGGCTTTAACGTTGACAAAAATCAGATTTATCTAACTATCCACTTTTAACCTTTCATCTTTCTTAGGTTGACAAGGTTGGGGGAACTGGCATGTTTATAGCTGTACCAAGGA